TCCACCAATACCACCTTTGGGAGGGGCATAAGATCTGTACCAATCTCTACAATAACATCATAATCAACATTTAGTGCTGGAGGAAGAGTTATTGATGTTTATTTTCTTTCTATTCTTTAATCTTTTTTTTTAGCATTTACAAATTATTTGCCAACTTATGTAACCTTGGAATTGTATTTGCACGGGAGAGAAGATGATGAGAATACTACAAGCATCATGGTGTGTTTGTAGGATTCATAAAGTTATTTTAATTTACATAGTATGGATTGGTTTGTTGGAATGATGAAATATATGTTATTTAGTTTGAGTATTTTGCTTTTGAAAGTGACTTAAATGCATATTGTGATGAGTTGTTGGTGTGATTCATGGTTCTGTTGGGACGTTGAAATTGTGATTTTTATTTTAACAACAGAATTTGAGTATTTTGTGAAGTTGATTCATGGTTATATTTGGAAGTTAAAAGTTAACAGACTAACAGGTCGGAATAGGCCATTTATTTTTTTATAAATGGATCAGATCAAACTAACAGTTAGACTCGTACCATGTTATCGGGCCAAGTCAAATTGAAAATTTTTTGGATAGGTTTAAGCTTTTCGGGACAAAGTTTGGCCTAGCCTAGCCTACTTTCACCCCTAGTGATCACGAATTCAATTTTCATTGCCTTTTATTCTTTTAAAAAATTGTAGTTAAACATTATAAAATTCTTAATGGTGGGGCCAATATAAATATAAAATTATTGGGGAAAGTGTTTCTACTACTAGAAGAAATAAAATTATTTTCAACAATCCCAAAACTATGTCTATTTGGGGTTGAAAGAATTAATGAAGGATATTTTAAAAAATTTATTTGTTTCTTTGTTATATGAATTTTATTAAAACACCCTTAATTAATATTCTTAACCCTCAAAACAACTAGTTTTGAGATTGCGGAAGACAACTTTATGAAAAACAATAAACCCAAAATTATTATATGACCTTAATCTAATAATCAACATAAGTATGCTTGATAGTGAGATAAATCCACAAATAATAATATTATTAATGATGTAGGAGAAAAAACATTAATTACTTTAATGAAATTGTGATTTGGGAACAACTTAATCTAACTTTTAAGATTTATCATGAGATCATGAGATTAATATTAAAGAACAATTTTATGACACCATAATCATTTTTTATTTGCCTTTTTTTAATGGAAATTTAGATAAAAAGAAACCAAAACTACCTCCGTATACTTATACGTTCGCTTGTCATTTGTTAAAACTGGGTAGTTCATTACGTCGATCGTACTGCAGATAAACTTATGTTTGATAATAAAATATTTTTATAATAAAATTATTGTAGCAAAATGGATATGCTTCATCATTAAAAGAATTAACTTTTCATATGATAAGTGTTGGTAATTTTTGGATACCTGAAATATGATGAGCAATAGTAATATTATTGTAAAATTATAATAATTGAAAAGCTGAGATTTAATGTGGCTCACCTATAACCGGATCATGTCCCCTGTTGAGAAATTCTAGAATACATAGTATACAACACTCAGATCTTTTCATAAACCTAAGAACCTCTTACTATTTTTATACAATCAAATTTTCCTCTCTTATCAATTGAAAACTTAAAAAACTTTGTTCGTCAGCCTTAAGGCGCACTTGCTATATATTAAAGTTGATTTTACTATACGGTAACTGTTATTCCGACAATTTCAGCCTTATCGACTACAGCCAATTTGTTGAATGATCATTGATCCTTTGAGAGGAAGGTTAACAATTATGCGAGAGTAACTTGAGAGAAATATAAGTATGAATAATTGAGTGAAAAAATACTACATTGATTTAAGAATGGACTAAGTAAGCATCATATAAGTGGAAAGACTCATCCACCTAATGCCTTAAGGTTTTGGATTTGATTATAGTGTTTCAAATTCACTTAATGTCGTTGTTCACTTGACCTATAATTGACGGTCTTTCCACATCATGAGCTCCTCGTGTACGGCGTAACAATTGGTATCAAAGCTCTAATGGTGGATTGGCCTATGGTGATCCGAAGGAAAGAATGTATATCTTGATGTGGGAAGCTAAAGTCTTGATGGGAAGCTAAAGTCTTGATGAAAGAGCCAATGTTTGATGAGAAGCCAAGCATTGATGAAACTCCATGAATACTTGAAGATTCTTCTCCTTGAGGGGGAAATAATGTGGGCCTTGGACTCACAATTGAGGGGGAGATATTGAGGAATCCAAGTGTTGAATGATTGGGTGAAAAAGTCTCACATTAGTTAAGAATGGACTAAGGGCATATTTGGTGCATAGTATTAGATAAGGCCTGATAGTATAAGACCTGATTAAATTTTAATACTATCCAGCGTTTGATATGATATTGTATGAGATAATATCCTCCAATATTTTAAAAATTAATATATTAAAAAAATTATTTTAATATATTAATATTTAAATGATATATTAGTTCTTGAGAATTGTACTTGTAAGCAATATTAATACATCAATCCCTTATCAGGCCTAATCCCACCCCCTTAGGCCTGATTAAGTTATACATCATTTTGATGTATTAAGGGGTTCTGCTGTATAAGCTTATACTATACGATGGTCATACCAAACAATTGAAAATGTCATAACGTATAGTATAAGCTTATACTATCAAGCCTTATACATCACACCAAACATGCCCTAAGTGAGCACCATATAAGTGAAAGGATCCATGCACCTAATGCTTTAAGATTTTGGGTTTGATTGTGGTGTTCCAAGCCCACTTAATGTCGTTGCTCACTTGGCTCATGGTTGACGGTCTCTCCCTGTGCACGGCCCAACATAACTTTTGCTGTTAGAGAGATATAATATAAAATTATTGATTGAGAATTTACTTATAAATTTAAATTTTTGGGTTAAATTAATTTTTTACATGAAATCAGAGTCTTCATAACCAAATGGTCACGAGCATTGTCCAACTTTCAAGTTTAATGAACTCTCGTGTGAGAGTATTGTGGTCTTACTTTACATGATATCAGAGCCTCCATAACTATAAAAAATAATCAATTCAACCCTAAAGTTAAGATTATAAGTAAAGGCCCAATCAATAATTTTATATTATATCTCTTTAAATTGAAACACACTTATTATTATATTTATAATATATTATTCTATAATCCGGTTCTACTAGTGAATTATTAATTGAACCTACTATTCATTAACTTAGTATCTTAAGTGAGTCATTGACAGGAATGAATTTAATAAACATTGATTTTTATCTAATTCATAAGATAAAAATGTATTATCTAATAAATATTGTGTATCTAACTTATACTTTGCAGGGTTTGTATTCTTGGTGCAGGAATCAAAGCATAGCAAGTTTGTCCCACTATAATTGAGCAGCATGCGCCTTGCTTGTGCTTGAGGTGGACTTGAGATAGTGAGCTAGGAGGCACACTAAAAAGAAAGAACCATGATTAAGAGAAAAATACGTGTGGTTCTTGGAAAGAGGAGAGAGAGGGGAATGACAGCTTTTGCTTTTGAAAATTTACTCTTTTTGAACAGTTTTAGGGGAATTATGTCTGATGAGGATATAGACCAAAGTGGACCAACTATGATGGTTAGAAAATAATACTAGCTCAATTTGTGTATAAGACTTTAGTACATGGAGGGGAGAATATGTGTTATATCCTTTTCAATATTATCTTTAGGAGAAATTTAAAATTTTAATCATAAACCTGCACCAAACTTCAAATTAGTTCATAGAAAATCTATGAAATTAACGAGGATAATCTTAAAAGAAAAAAAAAAAAGAATTAGATGATAGTGGTTTATGGAATCTAAAAAGTATACCATGACATTGCCATGAACCAACAAAGAACAAATCTGTTTAATATTATAAAACTAGGAAAAAAGGTGTGTCATTTAAAATAACACACCTTATATTCTTTTATTCTCATAAAGAGGTGAGGTTCATATTTTTAAAAAATTTTCCATTCATTCTCTCTCATAATTTATCTATTTCTCTCATTTAAAATGATACAACCTTATATTCTTCAAATAATACACACTTTTTCCGTAAAACTAACATAATAGAAAAATATGTTCATATAAAAATAACATAATATAAAAGCCAACAGAGATTTTGATGGGTCATGGTATAGTGGGTGACCAAATCCATCATCAATCTCGAGCCCCCATAAACCCCACCTCCTTCTTGAGATTCTCACATTCTCAATACTTTTGTTAAAAATTTTGGGTTTTGTAACTTTAGTGAATGGCCAAACTCAGGAATGTTGTATTCTTCACAGCACCATGCTAGATCTCATACATAAGGTGATCAACTTAAGGGTTAAATTTTTTGAGTAACTCAACAAAACAAAAAACTTTCAGCTTGCAAGTGCTTATCTAGACAAACATATACTGTCACTATTGAATAAAATATAAAAGGACTTTGGCTCTTTATAATCAAAACAGAAAAAAAAAATATTGTGATTTTATATTATGTGTATCTGTATAATGTTCACTAAATAACATAATAATATCTCTCATGCTCCATTTTTTTTTTTGGTTTTATTTACTTTGGTATGCATAAATAATTGTTAAAAGCTCTTTCTGCTTTCTGGGCATGTGCATGATTAACACACAAGTGAATTTCCCATTCTCTCCTTGGAGGATTGAAATTTTACCTTCAATTGGTTCATTTTAAGACCATTACATTACATGTTATCTTGGTTACAAAACCTGACTCAATGACAAGCATGCTAGTTCCCTTTATATTATAAAAAAACATGTCTTTTTTTTTCTTGGTTCTGACACAAGAGTTTTGGTGAATGGGATTCTGGCATAGAAAGCAGGAACTGGGTTTCTTTCTTATTTTGAAAAATCACTGCAAAAGAAAGAACAACCATTTCAGAATTGTTAACGTCTTCAATATTTATCCATTAGTACCATCAGGTGTTTCCAGTTACATTTAACTGGTTCTTGGAAATTCCAATTGAATGAAGATGCCAAGAGGAAAAGCTGTTCTATTTTTTGTGTCATTGTTCTGGTTTTGGAGCTCTGCAAATGCTTTGCTTTCTCCTAAGGGAATAAACTATGAAGGTAAACTTCAAATTTTTGTTCTTAAAATGTGAAACACTTCAACATATATCTTCAAATCAGTTCAATAAGGAGAATTTTGAATTGGGTTTCTTTTGTCTCTATCTTAATGTAGTGCAAGCTTTAATGGGAATAAAAGCTTCTCTAGTGGATCCTCATGGTATTCTTGATAATTGGGATGGGGATGCAGTTGATCCATGTAGTTGGAATATGGTCACATGTTCCCCTGAGAACCTTGTCATTAGCCTGTGAGTCTTTCTTCAATCTTCTATATTTAAAGTTCAAATAATTGCAAAAAAAAAAAAAAAAAAAAAAAAAACTTCAAATGTTCAACACTCCACATTAGTACCAAGCTTATTCTGCAAAATGCTATTTTTAATGATTTGATGAACCTGGTCCTGCTTGGTGCAGTGGCATTCCCAGTCAGAATTTATCTGGTACTCTATCTCCAAGCATAGGAAACCTAACCAATCTTCACACTGTGTAAGTAATCAGACATCACTCACTACCCAATTTATAACTCTCCAAGATGCATGCTTCTTATATTTATTACTTTCATTAATACAAAGTTTGGTGTTATGGACTACTCTTCAGGGTGCTGCAAGATAACAACATAACTGGACCAATCCCTTCAGAGATTGGAAAACTTTCCAAGCTTCAAAGTCTTGATCTCTCTGATAACTTCTTCAATGGGGAAATTCCTCCCTCTCTGGGTCACCTGAGAAGCCTCCAATACCTGTAAGCATTTATGAGCTATGATTGAAGCTTAGAAGATTTCATTATTATGAGTAACCTGATTTCTAGAGCTTAACAGTTCTTAAAATGGTTTCAGGAGGCTTAATAATAACAGTTTTTGTGGGGAATGCCCAGAGTCACTGGCTAACATGGCACAGCTTGCATTTCTGTAATCTTCATGACCTATCCATTTTTGTTTTCTACCTGGTGCATTAATTTTGTTGTTGTCTGTATTTATAAAGATTACTTGTTGTTTTGTGATTATTACAATCCAGTGACTTGTCCTACAACAATTTGAGTGGCCCTGTACCCAGAATTTTAGCCAAATCATTCAGGTAAATCTTTTTCTCAATCTCTCTCTAGCCTTCAGTTTGATGACTATTTATTTCTCCATGACTGGAAAGTACAGGAAATTTGGTACTAACTTCAAAATTCTTTCCATTCCTTTGTGCTGTTTCAGTATTCTTGGAAACCCCCTTGTCTGTGCCACAGGAAAAGAATCAAAGTGCCCTGGGATGACACTCATGCCTATGTCCATGAACTTGAACAGTACTGGGGGTAAGATCCCTTCAGAATTGCTCATGGTTATTTTTTAAATTGAATGATTTTTCCTTACATAACTTTCCCACATGTTTTACTTTGATATATTCTACATGGTCATTGTATTGATGTTGACAGCAATATATTTGCTTCCCTAGATGCTATACCATCAGGCAGACCAAAAACTCACAAAATAGCCATAGCCTTTGGTTTGAGTATGGGATGCCTCTGCTCAATAGTTCTTGGTTTTGGACTTGTTCTATGGAGGAGGCACAAGCATAATCAACCGGCATTCTTTGATGTCAAAGGTAAACTTCCCATCAAAAATCTTTAGTTGAAGCTGAAATATGCATCATTATACAAGATTTTGCTTGTGCAAGTTATTTGATCCAACTGTAACAGTTCCTCCAATTTCTGTCCTCAAACTGAATCTTACAGACCGGCATCATGAAGAAGTCTACCTTGGGAACTTGAAGAGGTTCCAATTAAGAGAACTCCAGATTGCTACTAACAACTTCAGCAACAAAAACATATTGGGGAAGGGTGGTTTTGGAAATGTCTACAAAGGAGTTCTCCAAGATGGCACTCTTGTAGCTGTCAAGAGGCTTAAAGATGGCAATGCAACTGGGGGAGAGATACAATTTCAAACTGAAGTTGAAATGATAAGCTTGGCAGTGCACAGAAACCTCCTTAAACTTTATGGATTTTGTATGACACCAACAGAAAGACTTTTAGTTTATCCATACATGTCCAATGGCAGTGTTGCTTCTAGGCTCAAGGGTGAGCTCAATGGTAGAAATTCATGCTAATAAATTTAAACAAGTTAATTTGAGTGGTTGATTCATATACCAATTTTGGATATTTCACAGGTAAACCAGTGTTGGACTGGGGCACAAGGAAGCAAATTGCCTTAGGAGCTGCAAGGGGACTACTATACCTTCATGAGCAGTGTGATCCAAAGATAATCCATAGAGATGTAAAAGCTGCAAATATATTGCTTGATGACTATTGTGAGGCAGTGGTTGGAGATTTTGGGTTGGCAAAGCTTTTAGATCATCAAGATTCACATGTCACAACTGCAGTGAGGGGCACAGTGGGGCATATTGCACCAGAGTATCTTTCCACAGGACAATCTTCTGAGAAGACTGATGTCTTTGGATTTGGCATTCTGCTTCTTGAATTGATCACAGGCCAGAGAGCTCTAGAATTTGGAAAAGCAGCCAACCAAAAAGGAGCCATGCTTGATTGGGTAAGCAAGATTAAGAATGTGAAAATCACATCCCAACCTATTATATTAGTTGTTAGGGATATAATATATAAAAACAAGTCCTTTCAAGTCCAATTGACTCTTTTGTGTACGGGATGATAGAGAAAAATAATATAAAACCATTAATATAATATTCACGTAACAACTTGAACTTATGTGAGAGTTGGTTGCTTTACATTTTGGATAAGAATTAGGATGTACCAAACTTCTTTAGCACAGATGGTAAGAAATCTGAGTTCCTTAATAAGAGATTTTGAGTTCGAACTCTGAGAATGAAAAAAAAGAATTTAAGAAAATCATCCCCGAAAAGAGTCCGATGATGCTCAATGGGGATTAGTATTCGGTCATAGCTAAAAAATACCCTTAAAATTACTTAAAAAAGAAAAAGAAAAAAAGAATTAGGACGTGGAAATCATGTCCCATCGTAATGCATATATCTCCGTTACAATGGGACGTGATTTCCATCTTGATGTCCTTATCCTTATCCCTAACTTTTTTGATATTTTTCATTAAAATACTTCCCCACTTTTTTATGTCAAAAAATAAAAGAAGTGTTAAGTCCTTATATTATTGATATTCAGGTAAAGAAAATTCATCAAGAGAAGAAGCTTGAAGTACTTGTTGACAAGGATCTTAAGAACAACTATGACAGGATTGAGCTTGAGGAAATTGTTCAAGTAGCTCTCTTATGTACACAATATCTTCCAGGCCACAGACCCAAAATGTCTGAAGTTGTACGCATGCTTGAAGGTGATGGGCTAGCAGAGAAATGGGAAGCTTCTCAAAGTGCAGACACTACCACCAAGTGCAAAACACATGAGTTCGCTTCATCAGATCGGTTTTCTGATCTTACCGATGACTCTTCATTGTTAGTCCAAGCCATGGAGCTCTCAGGCCCAAGGTGAAAAAATTTCTAGTCAGTTTTAGTTTCTCTATTAGTTTTAATATATTTTTCACGAGTTTGTCTACTCTCATGTTATAGGAGAAAACATATCTTATGCTAAGACACAAAGTGATGGGCCCATCACTAAAAAAAAATAGAAGAGAAAATAGCAGCACAACTATCGAAGTGTTTATAGCATAAGATAGTAGTCTCTTATAACATGAGACTACTATTTCCCATTTTTCTTTTTTATTCTGTTTTTTTGTTTTCTAAAGAAAGCATATGAAAATGAAGAACATATGATAGTTGAATCCATTTACAAATCCCCTGAAGATTATATGTTGTATGATAGAAGTCTTCAAAGCTGAAAAGGGCTTCTCTTTTATTTATTTTCCCTTTTTCAAATGTACAGATACTTATTTGTTGAACGAGAATTTGTAATGCAATTTTTTGTAATATCAAAAGTAAGTGAAAACCACTACTAGGACTTCAGTCAAACTCCATGTGCTTCTAAGAATAATGACCTTACTTGCCTTCATTTCCAGTTATTTTTCTTGCCCAACCCCATTTTACTATAGATATTTTTTATGTTGCCATTTTTGTTTCGTCCAATTTTGATTGATTGCTTTTATTTCAACTGTTTATACAAATAGTTCAAGGAAATGGGTCTATGGTCGAAGAAATTGGGCGTATTTTATCCTTATCCTTACTGTTATAAGATGAACTCTTCCAAACCATTAAGAATGAAATGTTATAGTAACATTAATGAGTCATTCAATAGCATACATGAAAAAAATTTAGGAGCGTGGAAGTATAAAGTCTAGGAACAGATTTATTCAATGTGACACCTTTGGTTATGTGATCTCTATAACTGTTGTCAGTCTCTTATATGGTATACAAGTTATGATTTTTTTTTTTTTTATACCAACCCTAATTACTTATTTGAAGCGAGTAGATTTTTTCGGATATCTTCTTTGAGCCAGTTATGAGACTAATCCCGAATACGGAGCAAGTCAAGTTATGATTTTATAACCAATGTAGTATTACAAGATTTTATGAGGTGTACAAGTTGTTAGTCTTTTATAATGCATTGTTTTCTCAATTTCAACCCGAATATGGTAAAGGTGAAAGATTTCTCAAATGGTACTTTTTCAAGAATCAAACTTTGGATCTTGAGGTTCAAATAGTCATTAAATTTTATTAACTGTTTTTAATTGAATGAAACTGTCCAAATAGAAAAATTTGACAATTCTGCTTATTAAAATGTCAATATTATGACAAGGGTAAGCAAACCAAATAATGCATAGTACCTTGTGCTTAATCTTCTTTCGGAAATATTTAATTATAGTTATAAAATTCATTTTTTAAAGCTCTTTTAAAAATCTGATTAAAAAAAACACACAAATCTTTCTTTCTTTTTTATTTCAAAACAAACTAATCCAAACACGCATTAGTGTAGTCTCCTTGCATCACAATTAAAACCGGAATTAGCATGAGTCAGAACCTAACTATATGTAACGATTTAAATCATCATTGGAAAGCAACTTGAGTACCTTGTAGTTGTATCCTTGCTAACTATATTCTAAAGGAGTCTACCTTCCACCGAGTGCTCTCTACCTTCACAACAATACAAGATGAGCAAGTAGAAGATCTATATTGTTCCTTATCAATAATCAATTTCCCCCTATGTTTGGTACAAGAGAAATTTTTTGATGACCGGGAATCATGATTAATGGGAATACAATAGAAATTGAATTTACTTGGAATCTTACGAAAGAGGTGTTTGGTTCGCCAAAATATTACTGGGAATATTGGATAAGAATTACTGATTCCATATTTGGTTTAAAACGGAATATGACTTGGAATATGAGGTTATTTTACAAAAATAATCCCAAACTATTTTTACTTTTGTAATTGATAGATTGGGTCTAGATTTTTATATGTATTGGGGTATTTTTGTCTCAAAATTTATTGTTGTGTTTTCCCTTTACTTGGTATTCTGATTGGTATTCCGAATTAACGTATTATTTTTGGTAATCTGAATAGTGATTTTTCTTTATAAATCAAATTACCGGTAATCCTTGGATATCTGGGAATCGTAATTTATTCTTTCTACCAAACGTGGTAATTACATTTACCAAAGAAGGATTACCGGTAATCATCTCCAAAAACTTGGAACAAACACCCCCTAAAAGTTTGTAAATAACCACTTCAACCCAAAACCTTAAGGTGTTGAGTGAGAGCTTTTTTAATGATTTATATTATTCTCTAACACACACACCCTCAGGCAAGAGCCCTTTGGGCTAGAAGCGTGAAGGCCCAATGACCTTATAAAGGTCACATTAGCTGCCCATACAATCAATGTGGGACTATATATCTCAACACGCCCCCTCACGCAAGAGCCCTTTGGGCTAGGGGCGTGGAATTGCACAGGCCCAATTTTTGGTTTACCTTTTTGTGCTTTTTATTTTAATTCCACTTTAAAGTGGGGGGCTGTGAGGATCGAACTCGTGATCTTATGGTCACTCAAGATCTGATACCATGTAAAGAACCACTTAAACCCAAAACCTTAAGGTGTTGAGTGATGGTCTTTTTAATGATTTATATTATTCTCTAACAAAGTTTAATTTATTAAATAAGCCTCATAAATAATTTTATATTTAATAACAAATCCTTCAGGCTTTTTCACCCTTTTGCCCCTCATTAATTATTTAATAACCATTTTGCCCCTTATTGAAAATTATCTACCAATCTGCCCCTCTTTAATTGATTAAATTGAATAATTAATCGATTAAATTGTCAAATGAAGATTTAATGAATTAAATCTTCAACTTAATCGATTAAATCTTCCTCTTTATCAGAAGAACAACCTTATGTATGGGAGGTTTAATCGATTAAATAGGGAGATTTAATCGATTAAACCTTCAAGTCAACAATTTTTGCATATTTTGACCATTTAATTGATTAAATTTTTGGCTTAATCGATTAAAGAGGGACAGATTGGTAGATAGTTTTGAGTAAGGGGCAAAATAGTTATTAAATAATTAATGAGGGGCAAAAGGGTGAAAAAACCAATCCTTCAAGTTTATCTTATCTTAGGTCTTTACCTTTTATTTAGAATAAATGGAATAACAAAAATCGAACTCTTCATAAATTATAAAGACTAATATTATGTCAAGGTGTCCCTTTCTTTAATTAACGCAAACTCAAACCATATACCAAGTGATATCATGTCAACATTGAAACATTTTTTAACTTCTTTCACACACACGCACGTACGTAGACACCCACATACACACACGATTGATTATGAATTATAAAGAGTTAAATCTTACTTAACCTTTGTTATTAATAGTTAAATGCTTTTACTACTGTAATTTGATTTTGTGCTTTGAGGTTATTTTATTTCAAATGTACTTATATTTCGATGCAATTATATATGTCAAAGTTCACTTTTGGCCCTCTTACGTGTTATCCGAATTCGTCTACAAGTAAGTTGAAAATGGTCTGAGCGAAGTTTATAGATCAAGAGATTAACATTCTCATCAAATCTCTCAAGCATGAATGAGGACTTTGCAAAGCTAAGAAGACATCTTGGAGTAATTACCACCTAAATCAATATTAAGGAGTGATGCTGAAAAATAAACTTGATTAAAGGCCCAATTAGAATTGGGCGACATTTTAAAGAAGAGCTCATTTTTTTACAAAGATGTTATTGGGCTTACCAATGAAAACTATTCTTAAAAGATTTTCGAATAGATAATTATATATATTTAGGATGTAGAAAAATATCTAAAGAAAAAAAAAAGAATATAAAAAAGTACATGGATACTCTCATGTTAGTCACTAACAGACTCACAAGCAAGAGTCATGTTACGATAAAGAAAGATATAAAAATTTTATTAGTGAACTTTGGCACAGTACAGTGTGCAAGTTACAATTTTAATTTTGGTCATTAATTTATATTTAATAGTTTTGATTTATTAATTATATGAATTATTGGATACAAGTGGATCAGCTAACGGCCAAAATTGAGTATAATATTTTTTATTCTTATACTAGTATAAGTTAATCATCTCATAAACTTTACATAAATAATGGTTGGTATTATTATAATTATTTTTATATTTTTTCTCATATTTGATCCGTTTAAAAATATATCAAGAAAAACATTAAATGTGTGATAAAATAGTGAGATAAATGAGTGGTGAAAATTACTGGCAATATTTTATATTTTTTTTTTTTACTTTTGTAGTATAAAAGTGAGTAACTGGTATGCATTGTAACAACAAAAATAATATACTTCTTCAAACATCTCATTCTCTTAATTAGTAGAAGAAAATTTAATGTAAGTTTTGATGTCAACTAGTTAATACTGGGTTGCGGAATGAGTAGAGTTTAAAACTATATTGCATCGTTTAGCTTGTCACGTTGTGTCAATTTTAATGTTGAAAGTTGAACTTTGTTTTTTTTTTTTTAAATAAATAAATAAAATCTCCATTTTGATGGGTAGTAGGTAAGTAAGTCCCTTCAAACGGAAGCAAACTTCTTTAAATTATGAAAAGTAAATCTTTACATCACTTTTGTAAGCTGAAAAAATGTTAGAAAAAAGAAATAACACTGAACTAAGAAAAAACAAAATAAGTAATCAATGCAAAGCAACTGCCTTTGTTAGCCCAAATCCCATGCAATTATGCAAATGCAAGCAAAACTTGTCGAGAAACTAAACCATCCAACAACATTTTTGGATCTTGGAAATGATTAAGAAAAGAAAAATAAATAACTTGATAAAATATGGATCAAAAGGGGGAAACAGTGACCCATTTGTCACTTTCTTTTTAAAAAAAAAATTGCCCAACTGCAATGTGAACAGTAAAATTTTTAAAATGTCACGCGTATAAGTTCGCTACAGTAGATAGTGAACTTCGTTGGCTGACATGGCAACCTAATTCGCTACCGGTACTAGCTAATTAGGTAATTTAAACAAAAGTAGGACACGTGTCACTCTCTCCCAAGTTCACT